TTTTTGGTAAAAAATGATATTTTTGACTTCTTGTTAAAAAACGCAAGTCCAATTGCTTTGATATTACATATATAGGTACTACATGTGTACCTCTCTCAGATTTGTTCATTTTGTGATGATGTCTTCAATTCTCTAATTTTGGTGAATATTTTCGTAATTTTTGGTAAAAAAGTGATATTTTCGACTTCTTGTTAAAAACCAATAGTTCAATTGCTTTGATATTACGTATATAGATACTACATGTAGACTTTTCTCAGATTTGTTCATTTCGTGATGATATCTTTGATTCTTTAATTTTGGTGAATATTTTTGTAATTTTTGGTAGAAAGTGATATTTTCGACTTCTTGTTAAAAACTGTAAGTCTGATTGCTTTGATACTACATATTGTTCATTTTCTAATGATGTCTTCAGTTCTTTAATTGAAATGTGCATTGCTAACAGTGGAGCTATCTCACCCGGTAAGCTGCTTGTTTACTTTAGTGGTGTGTATTAGACTGCCACTGAGGGCACACTAACAATATAACCCAATTTTGTTTCAGAGCTTCATAATCATAGCGACTGCTTCAGCTTATCCAGTAAGCTGTTGCATAATAAATAAATAAAAATTTTGCATTTTCAAATCAACAGTTTTTTTGAACTTTACCTGAAATAAGTTTTTGCATGAGTGGTCTGCATTAGACTGCGACTGAGGGCGCCCCAACAAATTAATCCAATTGAAAATTATTTCTACTCTTACGATATGCAAATTATATATAATTATTATGCAAATTAGCCAACATTGCAATGGTATTAAAGGCTGGAATGAACACATCAGTTAATTTCTGTTCAATTGTGGTTTAATGACAATTGTCTTCTTCGTTTCAGTATAATTTCACCGGTGCCAGTATGAATCCGGCCAGAACACTGGGGCCGTTTCTTGTACTCAGCACGTGGACCAATCACTGGGTAGGTCAAGGGTCAATGCTTTTTAGTCCCCGTTCGGACGCAGTCCGAAAACGGGGACTTATGTTTTGCCCTGTGTGCGTCCGTCCGTCCGTGCGTCCGTGCGTCCGTGATCACCTGTATCTCGAACATGCATGGACCGATTAAGTTCAAACTTCACTCATACATCACACATTATATGGGACATATGCACATGCATTTTTTTCATGATCCGATTAACGATAGCCGAATAGCGGCCATTTTAAGGCCAAAAATGCATCAAAATCGCACATTTTCACCATTCCGGACCCGGATCTCAGTTATGCATGGACGGATTTTGTTCAAATTTGGTACATACATTAAACATAATAGGACCTTGATGCACGTCATTTTTTTTTTTGGATCGGGTTCGAAATGGCCGACTGGCGGCCATTTTGTTTTAAAGAATTCAGTTCTGGATCCGTATCTGAGACATGCTTGGATTGATCGAGTTCAAACTTCACACACACAAGGTACATCATGTCACAAATATGT